TTGCGAGTCAAGTTAGTCAAATAGCTTGATCTCCCAATTTTTCACCACGACAACACCGCACGGGAGGCACATGACACAAGAGGTTCTCATGCTAGGTTTGGTTTATTTGGAAAATCTTTATTGTTACACAAGAGGAAAAGATTTTTTTGAAAAGGGTTTGGGGTTCCCACAAGAGGTTCTCATACGGTAATTTATTGTTACTAATATTTTCATAATTCATTTGTTACACTTATTTAATATTTTATCGAAACCATTTTCAAAGATGGATCATCTCCCACTTCCTTCGCATCACTAGGTGGGAAGCTGCAACTAACTAGGGTGAGGATTGGCCACGTACAACCACATTTGCTCTGTATATGGGGAATATTGTGGTCGAGCCATTCAGAGTTTCTCTTAACCGTATGGTACCATATGACATTTTCTTCTGCCCATATGAGGATCACTGCAAACATGTCAGTTCGAATTCATTTCATTATACTCTGGATAGTTGGCATGTGGGTTATCTCTTATGTATCCTTATCTTCCCAAGTAATAAACGCACCAGTTTGGCGTCCTTCGCAAATATTTTGGTGTGATACTGGATGATTTTGAAATCTTGCTTTGTCATTCACCATCTTTTTTCTCGATGCTAAAAGTTACCACCTTTGGAATTATCGTGTTGATTGTCTTTGAAAGTAGTAGAGGCATTATCCACATGTATTTTATCAATTATTCTCATGACCTTAATAAAGTTATTAGAAAGAGCGCTAGTAGATTCATTAAGTTTTTCATCATTGTCATGTTCTACTTGGTCTTCACAGTCGAAATTATCCATTTTGAATGCGACACTCTTACTTTGTTTCTCAGCTTGTCATAAATGGATATCTCAAAGGTAGGCAAGGAGTCAGCCGATTCATCAATTTTTATCGTGGAGACATTTTTTACTTCCTCAAAAACCTCCTTTATAGAGATCTTAGATATTTCAGCACAAGCTTCTCATCTGACATTTTCACCAAGAGAAAAAGAACTATTAGCAATGTCACAAAGGCGAACATTGAATTCAGAAATAGTTCCATCCTCGCACATCTTCAAGTTTTCAAATTTTGTGGTGAAGAGTTGAAGTCTTGACATGTCCAATTTAGAGGTGTTGATGATCCTGAAAACATTTTTTTTAAATCCATTATAATTAACATTAAGAGCATAAGAATTCTCAAGTTGAGTTTCATCTTCAACAGATGTCCAATATTTTTCAAGCTTTGCGATAAAATTGTCTTCACCAATAACCGTTGGAGGAGTTTATCTATTGATAATCGCTTTCCATGTCTTGTTATCCACAGACATAAGAAAACAAACATGTGAGCCTTCCGATAGTCATAATTAATACAATCAAGAATTGGAGGACAATTAACAAATCTTTCCCCCTTCTTTGGTATTGTTCATCTTAAACATAATAGATACTCTAGAACACACCCGATCATAACAAGGTGTCAGCTCCGATGCCATTGAATTTATGTTTTCAAGACGCAAATAAAGAACACAAAAATTTGGTAACTCGATTATGTGCAACATCACCTACGCCTGACAGATTGTATCATAAAGGAAAGGAAAATCACTAATTCAAATAGTCAATAGTATGTGACAGTCTCATCTGAACTCTCAGACTCAGACTCAGACTCCCCCTTAAATGTGAGATCCCCTCACTTTCACTGAAACACTCGCTCATGTGTTTTCAAGAACCAATTATGTATGATGTGACAAAAATATCAATTATATACCAAATACTATAACTCTCTGAAATATAAAAGATTTTCTAGGATAGAGTTTTACACACTAAAAAAATACAAAAGACTAATGGAAACTTAAATAAAACACACTCGATTTCTTTTTTCAAAATGTGAGTCTTCAAATAAGAAGAACCATCTCTTTATATAAGAAATACGGTCAAGCCAAAAATCCAAATTAGGAGCAATTCAAGATTAACGATATCTATTCAGCAAATCAAATCTTTTTAACTTAAACTAAATCCAAAAAAATATTTTTCATGCAAATTATAATTTAATTAAATATTTTCCAAACTAATTTATTTTAAAGAATATTTTCCAAATGAAATTTGAGCAAAATATTAAAATCCTTCTGATTAAAATCAATTTGAACCAAATATTATAAAAATAGTTGGAAACAACCGAAGTAAACATACATCTATCGCACTTCATGAAGAACATGAGACAGGATGTTTCACCATTTGTTAAGACATCTTACTAAACAAATTTTCTACAAAAATATGCCAATCAATTGCAATAACAGCAGGAACTCGTGGAGTTTCATGTTGTTGGATAACTCATTGTACCACATACCATATGAATTCCCTTTGTTTATACCAATATCCAACTGGCACCGAAACTCAACACAACAATCTTAACCACTAAGAGACGTGGTAGTTTAAACTTGATGTAACAGTCTTCTCCAACTTTTTCTTTAGGGAAAAACACTTTGTTTAAGTTTGGGAGCCTCTTATAATGATGTGGATGTCTCTTGAGTGGTTACATCTCAATTCATTTTTTGTTTGGGTGTTGATGGGTGGGATTTCCTAAGACGTGCAGAACCACCCAAGGATGCTTTTTGAAGGTGAGAAAATTGTCCTGCGAGCTGAGTGTCCCTATTTTGCATTGTATGGTTCTAGATCTGGGGAAATTTTGTTCATAGTTTTCCAGCTTTGATGATGCAATGTCTTCTGCTCCACCCATGATGTCATATTCCTTTTTACTACCTTGGTTTTCCTGTCTCACGTTGTTTTTGTTGGCCAAATGACTTTAAAGACAAGAAGAATGAATTGTTTTAATTGAAAATGAAACATATTTATATAATATTTTATTTTTAAAACATTTTATTTTAATTTTGACAGAGAGATAAGGTAGTGGAAATAAGGAAAGAAGATTGAGATGAAGAGATATATGCAGCAGAAATAACATAAATAATATAAATTAAAGAGAGGAGAGATAGAGAGAATGCCCTAGAAATTTATACATGTTCAGTCTAATCATCTAGTCTACTTTTGTTCTTGAGAATTTTCTCTTGAGAGTTCCACTAAACATATTTGAGTTTTTTACAAGCTTTTCCTACTAAACTTCAACAAGACAAATAATGTTTTTATATTGGATAAACTCAAGAACTCGAGTTTAACTCAGGAATATTTAAAAAGATATTTTACATAGGTCAAGCTCAAGAACCTTCAAAAAGATATTTTACACAAGTTAAGCTCAAGAACCTTCAAATAGAAATTTTTATAGGAGTCAAGCTCAAGAAACTGCAACCAAACTTTTATTGCAACCTTTACAAAATAATTTCACAAGAGAATCACACTCTTAGATACAAAAAAATAAATCACAACATCGACTATAATAAAACTCTCACAAGGGCCTTTATGGTACTTCGACACTACAACAGTTCTCGTGAAAAGAAAAGTTAAAATCAGAGAGAGTGGGAGAAGGGTAGAAGGATTTCTATTCAGAAATTCGGCGTAAAATGCAATAAGGAGAAGCCTTTTTATATAGGAAAAAATATGACTCAAAAGAGAAATGATTCATGACCCATTTTAATGACTTAATTGATTAATCATAGCTGGTAATCAATTAAGGGCTTTCAAAATACGGAAATCCTAATCCAAAAAAGGAAGTTTTAAAATGGCTATATGGTTTAAACTATAAAAAAAGCTTTTCTAATAGATTAAGAGATCATTTATCCTGCTCTAATATATTAGACCAAGTACTTAATCAATTAGACAGTGTAAATACTTTTCCAATTGATTAGAAATACTTTTTAACCAATTTCATATAAGTCTTGATAGGTTTTCAATAATTTTTATGATATCAGAAAGGGTTTTGAAAAACTTTTATGAGTGTGTGTATGATCTCCTCAATAATTCAAGACTTAATCTCGACCTTTTACATGTTAACAGATCACTATAAGATGCTAAGCCCGAAATTAGGTGAGGTTTCATACTTTTACAACTTCGGATTTTCAAGTTCTCTTGCTTGATACAATGTCTTAGCAATTCAATTGAAACTTGAATCTTTTAACTAATGAGACTTGAGATGTCTTCTTTATCGGATGTCATCACCAGAAGCTTTATTTGACATTTGGAATCAACTCCCCCATGTTACAAGAATTCTCAACATCCAAAAGTCCTTTGACTTATGGAGTTGTTATCTTCAAAATTTCTTCTTCAGTTGTCATTATCAAAACCAGTTGATGATCATATATGCATGTTATAGAACCACAATTTTTCTTTTGGACAGATTTTAATTGTCTCCAAACGGTCTCCGAGTGGTTCCTTAGGAAACCATTGACATCTTAGTTGGTGAAGGATTTTTTTATTACCATGTGTTGTACCCCAAATATTTTCCTCATATCTCACTTTTATATGGTTTGGGCTTCGCATTCATTTGCATAGTATTAGGTCGTAGCATGCATTTTCACTCAATAAAGCACAATGTGTTCAAAGGCTCAGTGATTTAGCAATATCAGGGTTTTACAGTGATTTGTTGTACATATCAAATAAAGTTAGTTTTCTTTTGATTCATCTGGTTATTCTTCCGCAAGCAGCGAAGTGTAAAATTAGGAATTTGATTCATGGTTATTGAGGATCTCTTTCTTTATCAAGCTATAGGAATTTTCTTCTCCAAAATTCACCAAGATACTGCAATTGAGGCTCAGTGGGTTAGAGTTTTACCGTGGTGTTGTATACTTAAATCTTAAATTCCTCAAGGGTATTAGCTTTTTGTCTTCAAGTCAAGATGTTTATATATCAAATTGCTAAAGCTTTGAGCCATGGCAAGATATGTGAATTTGCAGGTTCATTTTGATCGAGGTAATCGCATCATTTTTAGTTTGAGTTAAATTGAGTTAACAGTTCCTTGAAGATGCAAGATGAATGGAATTTGTTCATTGAGATTAGAAGCGGATTCGAGTTTAGAGATAATCAAAGTGAATTGAAAATTTCTTAAGAGTTTGTGTGGGAGTTATTGGAATTCAAGCATAAAAAGCACATATCCTTTTCATTTCAAGTGTCCATGAATTCATTCGTTCAAGTTCATTCCAAGGAACTATCAAAGTGTCATTCATCATTTTTTCAACTTTATTTCACAAGTCCAAGTTCAAATTCAAATGTGCAAACTCAGAATTCATTCAAGATTCATCATTCTTCATTCAATTTCAAATCAATATATATATATATATTCACCATTCAAAAAATACAAGGTCAAATATCTTTCATCATCAAGTTTTTCTACAACAAATATTCATTACAACTTCATGTTTTAGAAAGGAGCTTTCACTACTAGAAGCTTTTGTTCATCAAAATTCCTAAAGCACTATTGACTTGGTCTTCAATCTCTTGTTTCCTAAAGACTTCATGCCCACCTCCAGGACATTCACAAGGCTGCCATAAAACTCAGCAACACCCTGATCTACAAAGCACAAATCTGCACCAAAATCCTCACCAAACTGGGTACACGTACAGCCTGCCACGGTTTAGTACATACAATAAACCGCAAAACCAGTTTCACATGAAAAACCTGCATAACACCCAAATTTCAGTTCAATCCAAAGCACTTAAGTCATTACCAGTTCAATAAAACAGAAGAAAAAAAGATGGAAACAGTGAGAAAAAAATCAGAAACATAAAGAGGAAAGGTTGGAACCGTGAAACTTTTATTACCGTATCACAATATTAGTTCAAATAAAGAATAGAAAAAAGGATAGGTCAGCATAACAGATAGTAGAGACAAAAAGAATAACAGAATTTGAGAGCTAAAAAAGTTCAAGCTACTTCATCAATCATCTATGCACCTTCTACAAAGGATATTCGAATCTGTGATTCCAATCCGTATCAACAACATCCAATCAGAAACAACAATAGCAGTGTCACTATCATCGTGATTTCATGTAACAAAATGTATCACAAAATTGCAGCCGCGTAACACAGAAAACGAAGAAGAAGTTGCAAGCAAAAAGAGGAAGAATCAGAAGCCAAAGGCGTACCTGAGATTCTCTGTTTCTGGATTTATGGCTTTAGCTACTGCCTTCGAAACGCCCTCGGAGCCACTGCGACAGGTAAGGTGTTCTTGCGCCATTTTTCTTGCTATCCACGAGTCGAATCCGCCAAGAGATAAGATGATTGAGGACAGTTGAGGATTGAACGGATTTAATAGGTTGAGCGAAAGGCTTGAAGCGAGAGTTGAGATGGAGATTCGTGAAGAAGGTTGAGACGTCGGAGTTTGACGAAAGCAAATCGGAGAAGGACCGATGACAGTGGCACTGAGGAAGAATCGTCGGAAAGATGACCGGAGAGGATGATTTCACGGCCGCTGTTGCGTTTTGTGAGGAAGAAGAGAGTACCTTTGTTTTACGTGGGAGGCCAACCATCATAACATGAACCCTAATCCCTCTTTCTTTTTATCTTTTAAATTTTTTTTAACATAATTAATAAAATGGTAAAAATCTGGGCTGGACTGCTGTGTGATTGTTGGACCGAAATATACTTTCCCTTGGCCCATCAACTTTTTTTGGTGTACTTGGTTAGTGTTTAGAATAAAGAAACGTCCCCTGGACTCTAACTATTGGGCCTTGCGCCTCCCTTTTCCTGATTCCATGTTTCACCCCCTGAAGCATTGCCTTTTATTTTCTTTTAGTGATTAATTATTCTTCTAATTCTTGTGTTAATCTTGTCAATTGTTTTGTATGATATTTCTACATGATTTTTACTTAATAGTTTACATGATAAAAAATGAAAAAAAAATATTAGAATAGATTTTAATCTTATTTTATTTGGATGGTTGTTTGGTTGATTACCATGTTTCCATAGGATTTCTCGATTCAATCTTAGTTAAGATTTGAATTCAGATAGACCTTAGTATTGATATCTACGCATGTTAACTTAGGTAGATGTTTCCCTTTTCATCCTAACTTTAAGTTCATTGTACATGATAACGTTAGGGCTCTAGTCTCCCTTAGATTTTTTCATTCCCCTTTTTGTATCTCTAAAATTAAAATTTCTTTTCTTCTCAACTTCTCATAACACTTAATAATTAATGATGAGAATCATACTTCATGAGACTTAAGAAACGGAGAAGGATGAGTGGGTCCATTTCTGAAGTTTGTCCTCCATTCTATTCATAGTCTTTTATGTGGTTCAAATCACTAAATCCTTTTTCAAGATAAAAAATACAAACCAAATCAAACTCTTTTTCCTTCAGGATTTTCTTTTGAAAATCTTTTCATAAAAAGAATGTGTTATTTCCATTCTGCATAATACGACGCATAAGTCCCCAAAGGTCAGACTGCAATATGTCAACTACTAGAGTGCAAATGTAACAGTATCCGCCTAAAAAAACACAAAAATAAACCAAAACACCTTTTTAGGTGAACTACGAGTGCCTTGGTCTCTCATTGCACGAAGAGGTACTAGGCACAGAGATTCACAACCGCGGTCGGTGCAACTAGTAAAAACTTTTCTTTTTGTACATACTTTACATTCATGCATTCTCCTTAGCTTGTTAGTTGTAGATATATAATACACCCTTTGATTAGAACAACAAGAGTGGATCCTGTGGAGTACCACGAACATGAGGGGGTGCTGATACCTTTCCCTTGCGTAATCGAATCTCGTACCCTCTTTCTTGGTCGCAAGACCATGATTTCTCCTTTCTCAGATTTACTCGATGTTTTCCTTTCTCTTCTTTGGAATAAATAATATTTGATGGCAACTTTATTGTTTATCAATTTTCCTAGTTGCTTTAGTTGGCGACTTCACTGGGGACACCTAAGTGAGTTAGTCCTAGCTCTTGATTATTGCGTATTTGGGTGTTTATTTCTTTTTAGATTTATGGCTTGTTCCTTTGTATATATGATCGTCTGTATATATGTGCATGCATTGCATTTTATTACTTTCCATTATTCTGGATATCTATTGGGATGTTTTGTGTTGGATTTGCTGGTTTTTCAGGTTGGGTTGGGTTGTTACTTTGAGGTAAAAGGCCCAATACCCAGGCCAGAGTGGTAAACACCTAGGAACACATAGGATTAGAGTGGAGAGTCATGACGGCTAATAGGCTTATGCCCTACTAAGTTCGATCATGAGAGCTACGCTCAGACGAGGTTCAAATGGGGTATTATCGTTATCACGTATGTTGTTACGATGATAGTACTTTCATGAGGACTCACGACTCTGATTTGCCTTTAACCTTACCTTGACCTAGACTTCACCCGTGAGTGGGGAGGAAATGATCTTACAAGTACTGTTGGTGACTATTTGGTTCTTTTGGTGTATGTTCTGGACCTTTAAACCTGTTATATTCAGCCTGTTCAGAGATTATGCAACAATAATTCAGAAGATTGTACAATTGTTATCCATGATATGCTGAACTTTTAAACCCATGGTGTCGCATTACATCAATTATCATAAGAGTTTAGTTCTCTTATCATCCATGCATCATCTTACACTCCATTCATTTTAGCCAAAAGACTCATTGCAAACCTGGTTTCTTATCCAGAGTATCAAGACTGCAAGACTGATTTACCGACATCATCGTCAACATGGATCAACTTCAAACATATATGGCTAATATGAGAACATGTATGGAGACTCAGATGGATTAATTCATGGAGGTTATTCAAAACCTCTCCCTTGTATAAGAAGATTTAAGGCAAGTTATTCAGATGCTCGCAGTTGTTATTGCTGATCATGTTAATCCACCAAGTGTTAATCTTAACCAAGAGGAGTTTTTTTAAAATCAGAATGTCATAAGTATCATTCAGATTCCTGTCAATGGAGCTCCACACCATGAGGATATTTATGAGTCGTCAAATGACACTTTCAAGTTCCCGATTGAATAGACTGAGACTAAGAAAAAGCTTCACCTCTTAGAGGAGAGATTGAAGGATATTGAAGATCATAACTCCTTGAATTTAGATGTTACTAGTTTGTGCTTGGTACCTGTAATCAAAATACATGTCAAATTCAAATTCCACAGTTTTGAGAAGTACAAGGGTACCAATTTCCCGATGACTCACATCCAGGCCTATTGCAACAAGATGGCTCCTTATGCAGAAAATGACAAACTGCTAATGCACTTCTTTCAGGATAGCCTCAGTGGAGCATCTCTTGAATGGTATACCCAGCTTGAACGAACCCACATCCAAACTTGGAAGGAATTAGCTAAAGCCTTTTTCAAGCAGTACAATTATAACAGTGACACGGCTCCTACCAGATTTCAACTCCAGGGTTTGACTCATAGGGCTGACGAATCTTTCAAAGAGTATGTGTTGTAACTAGTTTTGAAATGAGAGTTGTCACCCTTAATTTGTATCCTAAGGAAGGGAGTATAAAGGAATAACCCTAAATAAGTTAGAGATTCTAGGTTTTTGACTCGGTTCTAGATGAAGGAAGGGTGTTAGGCACCCCTCATCTACCTTGTTCACAAGGATACTAGGGTTAGAAGCGCAATTTTTAGGAAATAGGGTTTTAACATTTATTAGGGGAACTCGCCACGATTTTAGTCGTATGCCTAGGTATCCTCTTAGGAGGAATCAGAGTCCCAATTTGTAGTTCTCAGTTGATTTGTGTTTTTTATGGATTACGAAGATATTTGAATTTTCCGCGTATGTAGTCTAGGTGTGAGAATAGCGGAGTTTGTTAGACGAAGTGCGCAGTCGATTTAAATATATTTGAAATCCTTTTTTGAAAGTTGATTGTTGAACTTAATTTTAATTTTGAAAATAATTTGGTGTTGGTTAAATATTTTTTAATGTATTAATTGTGAAAATATTTCATTAGATGCATGATTAAAAAAATAATTTAATGCAATAAATAAATAGATATTTGCACGAGTTGAAAAAAAACATATATTATTTGATTTATAATAATAATATAATTTTAAATTATGAATACATATATAGAAATATAAATATAAAAGTATAAATATAAGAATAAAAATAAAATAAAAAGGAATTAAATAAAAAACGCAAAGGGTGTGAATCATATTAGGTTAGTAAAGATGGGGGTGCAGGTATTAGGGCCCTGAATTCAGATATTGAATTCAGGCCCAAAAAGATAGTGCGCGTGTTTTTAAACTATATAGTAAAATTGGGAGGCGTGAGCAGTAAGGGGCCCAAGTTCAGATTTTGGACTTGGCCCGTTAGATAGAGGGGTGTGTGTAAGAACAAGATTAGTTCTGATCTATCTCAGAGTTTTGATGATAACAATAAATTATATTTTAGATAATTTATACTCTGATGAATGTATTTGAATGTTTCAGATAATGTTCTGATAGAAGCATTCTGATGTGCAAAGCTAAAAATTATATGAAGAAGTTCTTTAATGAAAGAACCTTTTTGTTTTAAAGTGCGTCTGCTGACTCTAGTAAGACAATTTTGTTTAAATATATCTTCTAACATTCAGCAGGATTCCTTGCTCAGAAGATCACTTGAAAGCAAGTGTTGTTCAGAAGTTATTTTGAAAGCAAGCGCTGATCAAGTTTTTAGCAAGCAAAGCACTACCTAGAAGATGAGGAAAGCATGTTCTGAATACAAGACGTTGAAGCAAGTTCTGAATGAACGTTAAAGCCAACTTGTCTTGTCAAGCGAATGAAACATGTTCTTACAAGTTGTCATTTTCTCATTAATGCAAAGACGGCTGCAAGCACTCAAGTGTCTAAGCTAGTTTCTTGGAAAATGGAATTGTGCGAAGAAACACACAAGCATTTAATGCTCTCCACTTTTCTGAAGGCAGCAATGGTCATTTTGTTCTTACTATATATAGAAGGACATTTATTGCAAGCCAACTAACGAAACAAATTTCAAATAGAAGAAAGAAACTTCGTGAAAATTTTTGTGCTCACAAAAACTCTTTGTTCACACACTTTGTGCAATTTATTCTAAGTGAAAAAATCATAGTTGTGATATAGCTTGATTAGAAGCAAATTTTATTTCACTATCTGTAAAGATTAAACTCTTGTAATTGTTCCTTGAGAGACCAAGTTTGGTCAGATTTCTCAAGCATACTAGGACTAGATTTAAGTCTTAGTGGTGTTAGTCACTTGTAAGATTACTTGTGCATTGTTAGTCACAACAGTTGTTGTGTGTTTGTAATCAGTTGATTATAGTGGATTAAGTCCTTGTTGAGAAAGGCGAAATCACCTTGACGGGTGGACTGGAGTAGTTTGAGTTCAAACGAACCAGGATAAAAATAACTTTGTCATTCCATTATTGTTGAGCTTTGTTTTGAGAAGAAAAAGAGTCACTTATTCAACCCCCCTTCTAAGTGTTTTCTTACCCCTTCAATTGGTATCAGAGATTGACTCTGAGCACAACACTTAACCGTGTTAGGAAAAGATCCAGAAGAAAACACAATGGCTGCTGAACAAAACAAC